CCGTATTTTGGGAAAGACAGGTCGAGATTGAACCAGGCCGGCGAGGCGCGAGACCGTCAAGATACCTAGTTTCCTCCTCTCTTCGCTTTGCTCCCTCAAGGCCGCGAGGCGAAGACGCGAGGCCGTTCCCTCTCCTTCTCGGAGAAACATGACGTCAACATTTCTGTCAAATGCGCCTCTTTTTCTTGAAAAATATGGTCATCCGTTCGAGATAACGCTGTATGAGTGATGTTTTGGTGTTTGTAGCATCTCGTTGCACGGATTTGCCGCGTGTTTTGTGGAATCCAGATTTCGGTTCAGCATCCCTTTAAAGGGATACTGAACCGAAATTTGGATTTCGCAAAGTAAGGCTGCAGAAGTGTTGAACGGGACGCTATGAACTCCAAAACATCACTCGTACATCGATATCTCAAACGGATGGCCGTACTTTTGGAAAAGAAGGGAGCGATCAAGCGAGTTCTTTGACGTAACTGTCCTCCGGGAGAATGTGAGAATGAGGAGAAGCGGCCTCGCTTCTCTCCTCCTCGCCTCGGTTCACCAGCTTGACGGGACGTAGCGAGGAGGAGAGAGAATGGGAATCGTGACGTTCCTTGTCGCGCCGGCCTCGTCGGCCGGGTTCAATCGCGCAATTCTTTTCCAAAAAATACGGCGATCCGTTAGATATATCGCCGTATGAATCATATTTCTTGGTTTTGCAGCTTCCCGCCTATCCGCCCGGCCTTGTTTTGTGAACTCGAATTTTCGGTTCAGTATCCCTTTAACGGGGCAATGGACATCTCATGTCATGCCTCTCCACTGCCAAACAGGTCTCATGATGCAGTGCGCGCAGTGTTGCATACAGGGATTTCTGAAGGTAGTCTATTACGGAAAGGAACAAGATAATTATCACGTTCCTAACTTGGTGAATTAAATTAAAGGAAAAATAAATTTAAAGGTGTTTCTTTTGCAATTTCCCGAAACACATCAGAGAATTCCTAGTGTCGAGGGATGCAGTTTTCGAGTTAATAATAATAAAAAAGCATTAGAAAAAAACGTACACCGCGTAAAATAACTACTTTGTGAATAGAATTAACTCTAACAAAGTTTTGTTTTATTTGTATTGCCCGATTAGTGGCTCACCTGCTCCAAGAAAGGAGGCAGAGGCTTTGCCAGGATTTGCAGTCATTTGCCTCTGCCTCCCATCTGGACGTATCTCCCCCCCCCCCCCCCCCCACCCCCCATTAAAAAAAAAGTATTTTAAGGCAATTATTCTTTTTTAAGATGAACACCCTGAAAAAAAGGAGCGCTGGTAATTAAAGTGCCTTCCTAGAAGTATTTTGCGACTCTGAGAACCCGCAGTTAATATCCACATTCAGTGCACAATCTCCGGATATATGAGGTACCACTGCGAAGCGCCGACCGGACACGGGAAATTCCCGCACGGGGCGCTTCGAGCGTTGCCGCGCCTTGCTGAGTCCGGCTTTTGGAAGCTACCCATTCCGATATCAAGGGGGTTGACGCATGTTTCTGTCCGCGTTTCCAATTTCGAAACGTGACCTTGCGTAAAGGCCGATGACGTACGATAGACAAGCGTTTGTCTGACGTGCGTGTTTCTTTTTTGTTCGTTTTTCGCGCGTTTTTTTAATCAGTTTCACAGCTTGTCGGAACCCAAAGAAAAGTGCTCACGGAAAAAGGGAGAGGAGAGGCAGGGAAAGATGATGCCCAAAGCGTCCTGAAGGGGATCTCTTGGTGGCGCCACCACAGCGCGAGCGTTCAAATCTGAAAACACTACTGTATTTTTTTTTTTTTTTTTAGAGGAGAAATATGACGTTGCTTTACACCCTTCTCCTCTTTCTCTGTGCAAAGGTCTCCGCATTCTTTGCGCGTTGCCTCGCCACTACCTCGTTCGGGAGAGGAGAAAAAAGCGAAAGAGAAAATATCTACAAATGTGTTTTGGGGAGAGACCTTAAGGTCCGCTGGCGCTGATAAGAGACCGCCTCCTGCGCTACCATCGCGTTCGTCGTTCTGCCGCTTCTCCTCTTTCTTTTCCAGCGACCGGCGCTCTCTACTGTTACGTCGTCAGTTTGACGGGCTTTCCAGTATTCGTTTGATTTTTTTATGAACCGTTCAAGTAAGCTGTATCTTTTTTTTTTCCTTACTAAAAAAAGCGCAAAGTACTAAAACAAAACAAACCTAAGAACTTTCATTACTAGTTTTCAAGTCCCCCCACACGTATTACAAACCCCTCAAGACGGCGATTCGAATAGTTTGTGCAGCAGTTTCGCTCTAAAAAGGGGGACTGCAGATAATCTCCACAGCTTCGAAAACAAAGTGCGACTAGGGTGCCTTCCTCTCCGCCCCAAGTGAGACTTCCATTACCCCGGCTACCATGGGGCGCGGCAGCGCGCGAAGTGCCCTCTCCGGGGTTTTTCCTGCTCCGCTCGGAGCTCCGCTGTTGTAGCTCATGTGTCCCGAGGCTAGAAGCAACAAACACCACACGCATAATTACGCGGAATTATAAGACTTCCGTGCACAAGCACGGAAGTCTCAGCGATTTGAGACTTTGCGTTTGTTCCGCAATTATGTTCCATTTACACCAGCTCGTTTGCGCTCTTGCTTTTCGCTCACTGATATCACTTACGCACCTCGAGAGAAAGAATATAAACCTTACGAAACACACGCGAAACGAAGTGCATGGTCCTGCTGATTGCTCTACCGCTTTAAAAAAAAAAAAAAAAAAAAAAAAAAATATATATATATATATATATATATATATATATATATATTAATTTTTTTTTTTTTTTGTAAAGTGCGTGGATAGAATACGTATTTGACAAAAGCATTTTTTTAAGAAAACGCGAAATTTAGGTCGCGAGGTTTATTTTGGTTGCGAGTCACATCATTTAAGCCGCGCAGCTTGTATTTCCTGCCTCTATTTGGGGAAGACGTGGCAACAGAACCACGTTTCGGTATTGCTTCACATTCAAATTGAGTGTTATGACGTGAATATCGCGGTAATTGTTTTATCGTGCTCACTTTGTGACACATGCATGCAATCGAGGAATGCAGCGTCTCTCTGATTCGGATTCATGTTCCTATTTTAGATCACCGTGACGAAATAATAACCACTCAAGCTCAAAACGTGTCTTGCAGACCAAACACGGTATTAAACTTTTTTTTTTTTTTTTTTTTTGGTGGAAGAGGAATAAAATTGCGCTTTTGTAGTTCGGCGTCTTTTTCAAAGCTCTACTATAGAACTATATTAAAAAACCGTGTATGTATAAAAATGTGTTGGTCCAATAAACGCGTATGATTAAATAAGATCGTATAAGGTTATACAATAATATATAAGAACAATATAAGATTATATAAGAAGTTATAAGAAACCTCTTATCAGTTTCTGTTAACTCCTTATATAATTTTATATTGTTCTTATATGTATTAAAGGTTTTTGTATGCCCTTATTTGATCTTATTGGATCATATGCGTTTATTGAACCAAGAAATTTCTTCAAGATATAAGATTTTGCCCTAGGCAAGGTACTCATCGCAGCCCCCTGGCCGCCTCAGCAATACATAAGGTTACAAGTATGTTACCTTTTCCTCCTTAATATTTTTACAAGAAAAAAAAAAATTTCTTTTTTTGTTTTTTAGGACTGGGATTTGATTTTCTGATGTAAAGCATCGGTACGGGCAACAATCATTTGACATAGTCGCGAAAGCAACATCCGTTGAAGCAGTTTAAGCTGGTGTCAGATCACTTCCCTGCGCAACACCCCCAGCATTCTTTTCAACACCCTTTTTACACTCTCCATTAATTAAGGGTGTTCGACGCTAGAGCACCCAATTTTACCATTACATAAATAAAAATGGCGTATTGCTCCAAATAGGGTGCTGTAAAGGTGCACGGGTGTAAGTATCTGGAACCCCCTTTTTAGACCCTTAAGAATGTGACCATTTTCAGGGTGTGCTTCATCTTATACAGATGTTCCACTTTCGTGGTGTGGAGGACCCGTTTGGTGTACTTTCGAGTGTCGGGGTGGATGAGGGCGGGGAAGTCGCGACTTCTGAGCGGGGCATGGACGAAGCGAAGGGTGCCCGGGCGCTGCTTCGGTCCCGGGATGCGCCGCCGGCGACCGCAGAGAGGTGTCCGGGTCGCCGGCGTCGCATCCGTGACTCAGGGGGCGTCGGCGGTGGCCTGGCTGCAGTCCCCGGAACACCAGCTCCGAGAGCGGGGGAGGGGTGTCAGGTTGGCGACCCACTCGGCGCGGTCCCAACAGCTGGGTGGCGGCGTCGCGAGGCCCGCGGGAGGCGAGCGGGGTGACATATGGACCGCCGCCGGGGTGGGCACAAAGAGCGCGGGCTCGTTATCCCTCCCCAATCCCGCTAACGAACGGTGTAATGGGGACGCGGCCCCGCGGGCGCTTTAATGAGCGCGCGCAAACACACGTGCCGGGGGCCATATGGTGAGCCGCGGGCCTTTGTGGCCGCCGCGTGGCCAGGCTCCGGGAGCCCGCCTTTCCCCGGGCCATGATTGGGGCGCGCGTCCGACCGTCAGCAGATGGCCGCACTGCCCGGGGTCCGCCAAACACTCCAGAGTGCGGGGCGCGCCCCTTCCCCGCACTGCGCTCGTCCCCGCTCACGCCGCCGGAGGGCAATCCTGGGACTCGAAGCCCAGTTCCCGGTTTAGAAACCCAGCCAACTCCCACCTCAGTGTCACGCTGGGGACGCGGAAAGCTTTCCTTTTTTTTCGGGTATGCTCGCTCCATGGGGTTTTGTAGGCGGCTTCTTAGAAAATTACTTTTGTTTCTAAGAAGTCGCCTTGGATTCGACAACGAGTCTCGTAACTTAGGAATTTCTTGTATCGAAAAAAATAACAATAAGAGTCCAGACAGAGATTGGGAAATGGGGATAAAGACGCGGGCTATCAAGGTGCAGCGGTTTCGCGGAACGCCCGCATGTTGGCGCGGAGCGTCGGCTGGCTCGGCGGCGGTTTGGTCGCGCGACGGGAACGCCACGCACCTGTCGATGATGACCGGGTCCGAGGGCGTCTCGTTGCGGTTGCCGCAGCTTTTCTTGTCACAGCAGCGGCTGCGTACAGGGGGCGCCCCGTGAGCGGGGAGGACCGGGGTCCGAGGCTCGCGCTCACCTGCACATGACCTCGTGCGTGAGCAGCACGCGGCACATCTCCGGGTTCTTGTCCTGCCCCTCGTAGACGATGGCCTGCGGGAGAGAGAGCGTCCATCTGTTACGCAAACAGCCTCCCGGGATCGAGTTATCGGAGGGGGACGCGCCTGATAAGCGCGGCCGCAGGACAAAAAGCCGCGTCACGTGCCTCATCCCGGCAGATGGGGGAGGACGAGTCCCCCAAATTTTTCCATCTGTCGCAAAGAGGATCGGCCCCCGCCCGGCCGACCTGCGGGGCTTATCTCATTCGCTTGATGTACTCAGCCCCGACGCGATTGTCTTTTTTTGCTTCGCCGGGGGCCGCCGCGGGCTCCGGCGAGCCACCCGCCCGCAAACGGGTGTCTGGCCGCGGCCGTCCCCTCGGGGCTCCCCGGGGACGCCGCGCGCCGCCCGTCGAGTGCCACTTGCCGCCCCCCACCCGGCCAGATCGCGCTCAGGTGCCGCCGACTCCACGTGACGCCACTGTCGGCCGTGGCGCGCCCGGCCAGAGCCTGGGCGCGTGACCCGAGGCCGACGCGCCATTGGTCGTCGGGAACCGCGGCTCTGGGCGCAGCGCGGGCCTGGCGGGGGAGATGTCGCGATGGGCAAACGCCCCGCGTCGCCGAGTCCCCTTTTGTCGTCGCTTCCCCGCCTCCCGAGGATTTGCGGGACTCGGGCGACGGCGGCCGCCGCTCGGCCGAGAACGCCGGGGCTCCGTTACGGAAGCTTACCGTCCCATTCGAGTGATTGATCTCGCGGCAGGGTTCAAGTCGCCGAGCACACGAGTTCTTCCAAGGAGGGGTCGGTTTCAGCGATTAATTGAAAGCGGTTCTATTGTGCTTTGGGACTCCGCTCTTCTCCTACCGCGTGTTACATGTACTCTCCAGCTGGTAAGAGCCAAACTAAACTTGATTGATTTACCAGCATCAAAAACGCATTCCTTCTTTTTTTTTTTTTTTTTTTTACGGAGCGATTTATTGTTTTGCACTTTGTTTGTGTGTGAGAGCGCCTAAAAAGCGAGCGCTTTCTCTAAGTGGGTCTTGTTATCGCAGGCCGAACCTCTTGTGGTTGAAAACCGCCACTGCATAATCCTCGCGTCGTACTTTCTATACGCTAAAGACCTGTTGAAATGTCTCTCCGCGCCCAAAGTGACTGGACATTTGCAATCGATTGTGAGAAAGCTGTCTGACTAATGTCCTCCGAAGTGAATATTAGCTATGATATTGTGGTGAAAGAAACAGGCAGGAGACGGACGTTCCAAAACAACGTTCTATTTCAGTGGTGTCTCGTCAGGAACTGCTCTTCGTGAGCGCGTGAGCGCGTGAGCGTATAGCGAGCGCGCGCGTCTTTTTCTCTTTTTCCAGTGGCGAGGCTGGACTCGCTTGTCGGTGCGTCCAGTCCCTACAGATATGCCCCCCCTTAGAGAGGAGGTAGGACGAACGATCAAAACACACAGACATCGGGGTGACAACGAAGTTGGCTTCTCTCCGCCGTGTGGTTGATGTCACGTAGCGCTATTTCCTGCATATGCGCTTGCTCAATATGTGCCGGCTTTAGTCTCTCCAATGCAACGGTGTCGTTCTTGCCGTTGACACGCAGGACAAACGTGTCGCTTCTCTTTTCGACGACTGGAAAAGGTCCGATGTAATGTGGGCGCAGTGGCTTCTTTTGCGATTGTCGTACGAAAACATGAGTGGCGTCTTGGAGGTCCTGGGTCACGTAGGGAGACTTTGAAGTTCCTTGCCGTGTAGGCACCGGTCGCAAATTGATAAAAATTTGCTTGAGTTGTTCTACATAGTCCAACTGCCTTTGTTGTTGAGGCAGTTCCACTTCAAAAAAATCTGATGGCAAGCGAAGTGCAGTGCCGTACACCAGCTCGGCGGTGGAGCATCCGATGTCCGCCTTCAAGGCTGTCCGGATTCCAAGAAGCACAAGGGGGAGATGACGAACCCAATCCGAGGGACCACCCTGAGCTGCAAGGGCCGATTTCAAATGTCGATGAAATCGTTCTACCATTCCGTTCGACTGTGGGTGGTAGGCAGTCGTTCTCAAGCGGTTGGTTCCGAGCAATCGAGTGAGCTCCGCAAAGAGTGCCGACTCGAATTGTCGACCCCTGTCGGTGACAATCTCTGAGGGGCAGCCAAACCGGGATACCCACGTAACGATAAACGCCTCAGCGACAGTGGCGGCGGTGATATCGGGCAGTGGGGTTGCTTCTGGCCATCGTGTGAATCTGTCGACACACGTTAGGATGTAGCGCTGTCCCTGAGAAATCGGTAGGGGTCCTACTAGGTCCAGATGGATCTTGTTGAAACGGCTGTCAGGCTGTAGGAATTGTCGACTTGGTGGCACCGGATGCCGCTGTACTTTCGCGCACTGGCATGCGATGCAGGAACGCACCCAATCACGAACGTCGGATTTTATCCGGGGCCAAACGTAGCGGTCGCACAGGAGCTTCTGGGATGCTCGTACACCCGGGTGCGACAAGCAGTGAATCGCTTCGAAAAGCTGTCGTCGCAGTTCACGTGGTACAAAAGGCCTAGGCGTTCCCGTTGACAGGTCGCAGATCACGGTGGTGCCTTCTGGAAAGCTTACATCCCGCAGTTGCAGTGACGTGGATGAACTGCGCAGGGCTTGCAATTCTTCGTCGGTGGTCTGTAGACGAGCCAGCAACTCCAAGTCTACAGCAGAACAGGCTGGGGTGTTCACGGCGTCGATCCGGCTGAGGACATCAGCGGGGACGTTGTCAACTCCTTTAACGTGCCGAATGTCCGTTGTGAATTCGGCCAAGAAGGCTAGCTGGCGAATCTCACGTGGTGTGTAATGAGAGCCGGAATTGCTGATGGCGTAAGTTAGGGGCTTGTGGTCAGTCCATATGGTAAATGGCCGTCCCTCGACGAAATGTCGAAAGTGTCGTACAGCCAAGTAGGCAGCCAAGAGTTCACGTCCGAAAACGCTGTAGCGCGTTTGCGCTGGCTTGAGCTTCTTAGAAAAGAAACCAATCGGCCGCCACTCTCCGTCGACTTTTTGTTGTAGCACCGCTCCTACGGCTGTGGCAGATGCGTCAGTCATCAGCGATGTTGGGGCATCATGCTTAGGATGTACTAGCATTGTTGCTTCTGCAAGTGAGTTCTTTACCTCGCAGAAAGCTCGTTCCGCATCTTCGTTCCAAGGAAGGGATGACGTTTTTCGTTCTTGTTTTGTTAGGAGGACCTCAAGATGTTCGAGCAGTTTGGCGCAGTTCGGAACGAAACGCCGGTAAAAATTGACCAAACCGAGAAACTGGCGAAGTTTGGTGGTCGAAGTCGGCCTCGGGAAATCTTTGATGGCTTGTACCTTTGATGGCAATGGACGGATGCCCGAGGAGTCAAGCCGATGACCAAGAAATTCCAATTCCGGAACTCCGAATACACTTTTCGTGGCGTTGATGACAATGCCGTGGCTGCGCAGTCGTTCGAAGAGGAGGTCTAAGTGGGTCGTGTGCTCTTCCGGTGACTTGCTGGCTATGAGCAAATCGTCTACGTACGCGAAGACAAAAGGTAATCCTCGTGTGACAGCGTCGATGAACCGTTGGAATGACTGAGCCGCATTTCTGAGGCCAAAGGGCATGCGGAGAAATTCAAAAAGTCCAAACGGTGTCGTGATCGCTGTTTTCGGGATGTCTTCTTCGGCCACGGGAATTTGGTGGTAGGCCCGCGTCAGGTCAATCTTTGAGAAGATCTTCGCGCCTTGTAGGTTCACCGTGAAATCCTGGATGTTAGGTAGAGGGTACCTGTCCGGTACAGTGTTCTTATTCAGTGCACGATAATCGCCACACGGCCGCCAGTCTCCATTTTTCTTCGACACCATGTGTAATGGAGACGCCCAGCTGCTAGACGAGGGTCGGATGATGCCAAGGTCCAACATGTGTTCAAACTCTTGGCGAGCATCGCGGAGTTTCTCTGGGGCTAGACGGCGGGGACGACAGTAAACAGGTGGTCCTGTCGTCACGATGTGGTGTTGTACGTCGTGCGAGACGGGTTTGGTCCAATCAGGTGACTGAGTAAGGCTCGGGAACTTACTCAGTGAAGTCTTGAACGCTTCTTCCGGGATCGTGCAGGCAGAGGTGTAGACTGAATTGTCGTCCGTTGCGATACCATGGATGGAAAGTCGCGTGGTGGAGTCTATCAGTCGCCTGCTTCTAACATCCACGAGGAGCTTGTAGTGGTTGAGAAAGTCCGCGCCGAGAATTCCTTGACTCACGTCGGCCACCAGGAAGATCCACCGGAAAACCCGCCGGAGGCCGAGGTTAAGGGTGATCGACCGTTCTCGGTAGACTGGGATGGCGCTGTTGTTCACTGCGCGCAGAAAATAGATCGGTGTCAAGGAACGGTCGGCACGCGTTGCTGGAACTGCGCTGATCTCGGCTCCGGTGTCAACGAGGTAGCGGTTCTTGGTGGCTCGGTCACACACGTAGAAAAGGCGACTTTCGTCGGGGCCCTGACCACTCGTCGCCTCTAGAGGTCGGCCGGCCTGTTTCCCTGCCATGAGCAGGGGCGAAGGCAATGCCGGGCGTTGGCACCGAAGCGGCGGTGGTAGTAGCAGACCCCGGCAGGGCTCGGTGATCGCGTGTTTTCGCCGCGTGTCCGACGAGATGTCGATTCGCCGCGTGCCCGACGAGACGTCGAACGTCTGCGATGTGACTCACGAGGGTGGGGGGTGCGGCCTCGTGTAGCTGCGACGACGATCTCCTCTAAGCGTTGGCAAAGCTGCTCGATGTTGGCCTGGGGAGGCTGGCTGTTGGCGGCCGTTCCAGAGTCTTGGGCTGTTGGTTGCTGTGGAGCCACGATAACACTGGCGACCGATGGAGTGGTCACCTCCATCACGGCGTCGGCCAACGCGGCAAGTCCGGTGAGGTCCAACGTTGTTGCTGTTGCCAAAACCATCTGAACATTGGAAGGTAGCCTTTGCAAGAACAGCTCGCGGAGGAATACGTCGTCCAGATTGTTAGAGCGCTCTCCAAGAAGCTGAGTCATGCGTCGCAGCAACTGGCTTGGCCGCCGATCCCCGAGCTCTTCCGCCGAGAGAAGCTGCTGCACGCGGGAGCGTTCCGAAATCTCGGTGCGCTGGAGCAGAGCATTCTTCAGTTGGTCATACGGTGTTGCTGGAGAGGGATTTGCCAGAACGTCGTAGACTTCGTCGGCGGCAGCTGGTGAAAGAGCCGAGACGACGTGGTGGTACTTCCGACCTTGTGTGGTGACCCCAGCGAGGTGGAATTGTGATTCCGCTTGCAGGAACCAAACTCTCGGATTGCGGTCCCAGTATGGTGGAAGGCGGACTGCGGCTGCTGCAACAGTGGCTGGCGGCGGGTCCGAAGGCTCTCCTTGCTGCATTTCACCCGTTCTAGTTGGCGATCACGTCCGGGTCACCAAATGTGGTGAAAGAAACAGGCAGGAGACGGACGTTCCAAAACAACGTTCTATTTCAGTGGTGTCTCGTCAGGAACTGCTCTTCGTGAGCGCGTGAGCGCGTGAGCGTATAGCGAGCGCGCGCGTCTTTTTCTCTTTTTCCAGTGGCGAGGCTGGACTCGCTTGTCGGTGCGTCCAGTCCCTACAATATCATTGTTCGTTCCCTATATCCGCACCGAGGACAGATTCTGATCAGCCGACACTAGACTCCCCAAAACCTTTCTTAAGTGCCTAAATAAGGCACGTATGCCGCAAAAATGTACTAAAAAAAATGAGCGCAATGTTTACGTTGGGAGAACCATTTTGATTTAACAGCGATCCAGAAACAGGCGCTTTTTTTGAGATGTCGACCCCGAAATAGATATTTTCCGAGTCGCTCCTAACTAAAAAGGACTCTCGAGGCGTAAATATTAAGTTAAAGATTTTTTTATTATTTTTTTTAAGTTCAGTTTGTGACGTACGCGTCCTGTCTAGGCGTTTTTTTTTTTACCTTGTGTTGTCTTTTTTTGTTTGTTTTGCTTTACAAGGCAACGAAGGTTACATCGAGACTGCGGCTTTGCAATGTGCTTTCGCTAAAAGAGGGATTTCGCTGGAAAATCTTGTTTAAAAGCATGGAATACAGGCGGCTAGATAACGCTTATAGCCTTTGCTGCCTCGTCAGCATAAAGCTGAACGAAGTCGGAAGTTAGCATTTAGGACGGAGTTAAGAGTAAGTGATTAGGAGTTAGGACATTGTTAAAATATTCAGATATTTTGTAAATGTATGTGATATAACAAGTTTCTTCTACTCGAGACTAGTTACGATCCTGGTTTATATTACAATGGACAAGGTGATTAACATACGCGTCCTACCCAGTGGGCTTTTTGAGCTACCATGTACACTAAACACATTTTCGGAATGCCCAGGGTTTACTCTTCGCGGCACGCTATTTATTATCTCTAAATTCAAACTAGCTGCATGATGGGGACGACGGACGAGGACCGAGAAGAGGGACACACGGGATAGGGCGTAACTTGAATTGAATTTGAATAGAACACACACATAAAAAGGTTAACACCGCATATGCGCACAGAGGATGCATTCAGATTAAAAACCCAGAAGCCAGACGTCACTGGTGGGTGTCTGAATCTTGACTGATAAAGGCCTACTCCTTATCAGAAAGGGCAATAGAAGGAGCGCTGATACAAACATTCTGTACACTCTAAGAAATGCCTGCGCGTCTACTTACCTGAAAAACACTCGAAGAGCCAATCTCTGCGATCTACAAAATCAGCTCAGCGAATGATGAGGCGGAACATCTGTTCAGACCTCAAAATTTAGTCTGCGCTGTGGCATTACGCAATGCAAGCATGACGCTTAGCATTGCGTAATGCCACAGCGCAGACTGCATTTTTAGGCCTAAACGGATGTTCCGTCTCATCATTCGCCGAGCTGATTTCGTAGCTCGCAGAGATTGGCTCTTTGAGTGTTTTTCAGGTAAGTAGACGCGCAGACGCTTTTTAGAGTGTAACGTTAGAGTGAGTGGAAACGTATTTAAGGAAACGGAAGGTGATGCTAAACCCAACTAACGTAGAAGTTTGGGCTAGTTGGTATTTCATGATTAAAAATTAAAACAGCGCAACCAACATTAATCGTTTCCCGCGTTTTCCAGTGGGTTCTACGTCGCATGTTGTATAACATATGACGTTACGCACAAAGGATACATCTAAATGTATCCTCTGTGCGCATGTGCGGTTTTAATCTTTTTATGTATGAGTTCTATAAAAATTCAGTTGCAAGTTACGCCCTGCAGGCCGCCTAAAAAAAAAAAAAAAAAAATCTGTTTTTGCGCGGTTTTGTGTTTGTTTTGACATCGTGATATTTGTCAAGCATTCATTTGACGCCATCAAACTTCTCGTAGCCCGTCGAAAACAAGCTGTACGGCCCCCATATTACTGCATCTGACGTCACTTTTCCAGTGCTGCCAGTAGAGCCTCTCAGCCATTCAGACCAAACACCAAATTCAATTTCTTCTCGCAAAAAAAAAAAAAAAAATATATATATATATATATTTATATATATATATATTCTGACTTGTAATTTTGGTTACTATAGTTCAGACACGTCAAATAATGTGTGGAACCAATTTTGAGGCAAATTGGTAACTATAAAAATTTCGCCTTTTATAGACATAAATAGCTCGAAGTGGAGATAAGGACACAATGAAGACGGGACCAGAGCTATACTGCTGTAAATGGAGCGTATAACACCCACATTGTTTTTTTAATAATGTACGCTGGAGGTTTAACTGGCGCTTGTGTCTATGCAACTTCCGCGATACAAATTAAAGCAGGCAGCAACCAGTCTACTTTTTGTAGTGCTCTTGTGCATACCTATGAGAAAACGCGCGTGCATTTTGTCGTCTCTTCGCCGGAAAATAACATGGGTCACTTTTGCTTTTGGATCGTACCGAATAGTATGTACCTTTATTAATATAGTAAAAGTATAATTGCTTTAGTTACTGTGTTTTTTTTATTATCAGTGGCCGATATTAAATTTCGTTATATTTCAAACCCAAGTCCACAGAAGGTGTGCAGACACCAGCGACAAATCTCAGCAAAACGATAATCGAAAGGAATGTATATTGTGTGTTTATGGTTCGCTAGCATTCTGGGAACACTTATATATCGCTAATGTGCCAGTCCTGTCATATATATGAAAGTGACTCCAATGTAGATCTTTACGAGCGGTTAAAAACTTTCAAAACGTAAAGAATAATGTACTTGGGTTATGAAAGGTGCCTTTTTTATTGTTTCCTATGCCGGGCAGCTCTTATCGGGCACCTGTTCTCTGGCTTCTCCCTATTTTCAAAGATTTCGAGCGTGCGGGTGATGTTTTGAACGCAGAGCAAGCCTTTTCGCAGAAATGCACGAGCAGTGAGAATAAAGCACTACTTTTTTATTGAAAATCGGACTATATTACTTGGCCTTCACTTTGTTTTGATCGTCTACATGCAAAGGGAGTTACTGATCTGGTGTTACTGCGTAGTTTTTGACATCTCTCTTCTTTTTCCGCATGCCTTTTGTTCGTTTGGTACGTAAATCCTACATGCAAATAAGCGCCGACGCGGCTATGTCCGCTCTAAGCACTGTTTAATGACATTAATTTTACAGAAAACCGCCGCAACTGACCAATATTTTCCTTTACTTGATTAAAAAATGTTCTGAATCATTTACTACCTTATAATTATTCGTAACATGTACTCTTTTAATCAAGCGCAGAGAGAAAACGCACCCGCTTTTCCCCGTAGAAATGCATTACCGAAATCAAATTTCAATGGCTGGTGTCTGCTTCAATTTGCAACATTGGGCCAGGTGAACCTCTAGCGTACAGTATAATAAATCTATGGTAGCGACAGTCCGCCATTTCTGTCTAATAATCATGAGTTAATTTCCTATCCCACGTTGGTGGTCGCGCGGTCAAGACAAAAAGCGGCAGCAAAGAAAAGCTTGAAGCGTCCTCGGAACTGACCACTGTTATATTGTCGCATGTACATTGGGGCAACTTGACGCGCGTAGGAATCCTGCGTTTCATGTTTTCAGGTAAGACCTTAAGCCGGGTTCCTACTGCTCATACATCTTACAAAAGACAACATGTAAACGCGAGTCACCGCAATACCCGTGGTTCGAATGCCGCCTGCCAAGTTTTCTCCTTGAACTCATTGCCATGCGGCATTCGAAGCACGGATCTCGCGGTGACTCGCGTTCGAACCTTTATGCAGATTGTAATTTGTATGATGTATAAGCAGTGTGACCCCACTCCTCGAAGCACGGGTCTCGCGTTCGAATCTGTATGCTGATTGTCTTTTGTATGATGTAAACGAGCAATGGGACTTAAGCCGGGGCCACACTGCTCATACATCTTACAGAAGACAATCTGCAAACACGAGTCACCGCAATATGCGTGGTTCGAATGCCGCCTGCCAAGTTTCGAATGCACGGGTTTCGCGGCGACTCGCGTTCGAATCTGTATACAGATTGCCTTTTGTATGATGTATAAGCAATGGGACCCCAGCTTAAGCAGTCGAAAAACCTCTCACTGGTAATTTTTTCTTCGATCAAAATTTGTCCGAAAAATTCCAAAATTAAAAATCTCAATAAAAAAATGAGACGAGCATTTTTTATTTGTTTTGCTACACTTCAAAAAAAGGCCGTGCGTCTACTTCCCCGCACAGCACTCGGAGAGCCAATCACCGCAATTTACGGAGGCAGCTCGGCGAATGACGATGCCGAAACATGCTTAAACCAAAATACGCAGTCTGAGAACTTTATGGCATTAAGCAATGCAGTCGTGACGTTGTGCAATGCTTAATGTCACAACTCAGGCTGTGCTTTTTGGTCCAAGCATATGTTTCGGCATCATCGTTCGATGAGCTGTCTCCGTCAATTGCGATGGTTGGCTTTCCGAGTGATGTGCGGGAAAGTAGACGCATGGGCTTTTTTTAGAGTGCCGTATCCGCAGTTCCGAAGAGAGGTGGTCTCCCCTCCAACCTGGGACGATTGGCGGAGGAGGGATGATCGTCAGCCTCCGGTAAGGCAAAGGACTAGAGATGGGGCACTTGAGCGATTAACCTGCCGATTCATAAATTAATACTTTAATTGCGGTGCATTTTTTAACCGGTTAATCGGTTTAAGTTTGATAAACAACAAAAAGTGCAAATCTAACGCTGTCACCACGCAGATGTGGACGAGTACACGTGTATGAAGGCAAACTTTAGGTGAAAACTTAACCTAAAGTAAACTGTAGGGGCGAAATTTGCAACTCTAAGTAAGTGGAGAAGGTTATACGGGTCACAGCAATTTCAACGCTGTGCGAGTTTCCGTTTGGTACAGCAAAGCATTGTAAACCATAAAATGATTAGTATTAGAGAATATCAACAAACCTCTTTGCCTGCGACTGGAGTAATAACTGATGAGTATGAGTGTCTTTTGAGTCTTCTCGTCTACACGTCATGGTTGACTTAAAATCCGAAAA